CTCTCTCTCTCTCTCTCTCTCTCTCTCTCTCTCTCTCTCTCTCTCTCTCTCTCTCTCTCTCTCTCTCTCTCTCTCTCTCCATAGTCTCCCCTCCCTCTTCTCCCCTCTCGCTATGTTCCACTTATTGTTTGCTCTCTCTGTGAGTCTGTGTTATATCCACTGTCTCCTCACGACTCTCCTGTTCAAGGATTGCTTGCGCACATACATATATTCTTTGTGCATATAGATATATATAAAAGAAAGACATGTTTGGTTCAAGCGGCAGGTGTTAGCCTTTAGATTCATGCTCACGATTAGGTGACCTGGCTGATTAGGTGGCAAGTACCGCTTCCCGTTACCCCGCCGTTGCGCCGTCCGCAGTTTGACTTGATCCCACCCTCAGATGCCATACGATCCCTTTCTCCCTCTCGACAGTCGAGTCTCCCAACACGCGCCAAGGCAGCTGGCACACACCTTCAGCAACAGACACGTGCAATCCCTACACGACACGTGTCTTCCTCCCCTACCGTCCATTTGCATCTCTTCTATGTGGCGGCTGTGTGATCACATAGAGAAATTGGCATTGCCCTAGAGAGTTTATGCTCGGTCAGGAATAAGATTCAAACGAATAATTGACCAACAAAACTACATAAACTCCTGAGTCTCCTGGAGAAATAAGTATAACCAAACTACATAAATTTATGTAGAGAAATCTTCGGAATAACTTAAAGAGAACTTGGAGAGGTAAGTAAAAGGGTGGTTGCTGATCGTAATTGCAGATTTATTTACTCTCGTTAGTTGAACTGTTGAAGTCTTGAAGAGAGAATGGGAGTACTGGAAAAGGAAGAGGACTCGTCTCACTTCTTCACGAGCAAAAGGAGGACTGAATGTCGTTCTCATTTTTTTCTGATCTCCTCTGGCTTTGATTCTTATTAGACAATCGAACTGGAAAACGAGAGGCAGATCAACAGACCGAAACCCGAGGGCTTCCCACAGAGAAATAATGTATAAGGTATCGCCACGATCAAAAAAAAAACAAAAAAAAAAAACGATTCGTCAGACGAAGTTGAACGGAAAGGAACCACTATACATGCTACATGAGATAGACTGCTCGTTCGTCTTCTTTTCTTTTTTTTTTCTTTTAATTTATGGTCCATTGAGATCTTGCTATTATAGAGATTAGAGTTATGAAAAAGTTAGTCTAAAATTTGAGAGATGCACAACGTCATCCTCCTCGAAATTCGGGGGGGGGGGGAATAAAAAATAAAAATCGAAAGGCTTCTATTTCACCACTTGGATCCAGTCCCTAATAACCCCGCCTGCTATTCAGTTCCCTTCTGATAAGAAGATTAAAAATGATTAGAAACCTGGAAAAGACAACAAAAAAAACGAAAACGAAAACGAAAGATTGGCAGCCGCACTTTATGTCCACCCGAGGCAATCTGGATGGGTATTACTGAACAATTGATTAATTGACCCTTTTGTGGTCTGTCTTTAAGTAAACGAGGAGACAGGAAATAGAAAATAGAGAACAACAAATCTCTGCCGCACGTCAGCTCATCGACGACGGAGTGGATGACATGGCAGACGCACCCTGGACAGGATTCCGTACTTGCACGACTATAATTACTACTGTTGTTGCCCGAATAGCACACCCGGTCATTATAGCTCTATTTGATGCGACTTTCATGCCAGATACGGCAATAAGTACCGGGTGTTCTATTCGGGTGAAGACAGTAGAGTGGAAAAAAAGGAAGGCGGGGAAGGCGACGGTGAGGCGGGTGGGGGAGGGGGGGGGGGGGAAAAAATCGTTTCTAACTGGCGATTTGAGCAATCTGTTCATTAAAGCGAGGAGGATGGATTGGATCTAGTCGTCGTGGCAGAGAAGAAGCGCGGAGGACCTATCTAGCTACATCTCTGATGCTTGGTAAGAATCCTAGCGGGGGTCAACTTGCGATCTCGTGAGCACCCATAGCTAGTCGCTTTGCAACACTTGTCTGGATTCTAGGGATTATTGATCATTATAATTCCCTTTCGGAGGCTATTCACCGCATTACCTACACAGGCTACACTTGAGCTAGTAACGATCGAAAAAGTGTTTCTGTCTTTCCTCCGTGAAACATGCAGAAAGAGTGCGAGCGAGGGTGGTGGGGTGGGGTGGGGTGGGGTGGGGTGCGGTGGGGTGTTTCACTTGGCTGTCCGTTGGATGGCTTAGGTGCCCTTCCGCCTAAACATTCATCGTGCTTGTGCTGGAATTCTGCTCCGCACAAGTCGTGCACGGGATTCGAGCACAGGACGTGTCTGTGTGAGTGGGAGTTTTTTTTTTTTTTTTTTTTTTTTTTTTTTTTTTTTTAAGCCCAGGGTGTTGTAGAGGCCAAGGATCAGACCCGCGGTGATTGCTATTCCTACTCTAAGGTCACGTCTTGCTTTCCCGTGTCCGTGCAGATTCGTGCAGAGGAGTTGTCGGTGGTGTGTCCGAGTTGCAAGCTCTGAGCAGCGGAAAGGGACCTGGAAC